TTTTTTTTTCATTTAAAAAAATATTACAGACCCCAGACTTTTGAATGGTAGTGTATATATTCTGTCTGGCTTTAATAATGCTTTCCTTTTTTTCAACTTTCTCCTCGTAGACCCATCAAGCCCACAGACATTCTTCCCCCAGAACGAGGCCATGAGGTCGCTAAGGAACTTGGCATTCCATACTATGAAACAAGCATTGTCGCTCAGTTCGGTGTAAAGGATGTGTTTGACAATGCTATCCGTGCTGCGCTCATCTCTCGACGCCACCTTCAGTTCTGGAAGTCCCATCTAAAGAAGGTTCAGCGTCCCCTCCTCCAGGCCCCCTTTCTTCCTCCCAGACCACCACGACCTGTGGTGGGCATCCCTGATCCTCCTTCCATTGATGGAGAAGGTCCAGACTCTCTTTTCTGCCAACCGTTGTGTGCAGACGTCCTGTTTCTCCTCCAGGCCGGGGCCACTCATGTCTTTGCCCATAAGGTGTACCTGGCCACTTCCTGCTCAAAGTTCTATGACCTTTTCACTATGGATCTTGGAGAGGCAGGGATGGAGCAGGAGGGCGAGGAGAGCTCAGAGGGAAGCGAGGAAGAGGAACAAAGCCGAAGAGGAGCCAAAGAGCAGGCTGGGCGTACCAAGAGCCTGGACATTGATAAGGAGGGTGAAGGAGGCACTAGGGGTTCAGATAGGCTGCTCATGTTACAGCAAGGCTCACTGAGGACTTCACAGAGCGATAACGCTCTGCCTGCCAGGGGCCAGCCCTCTATAGGACCCCTGGGAGCAGGCCGTGCTCTTTTGGGATGGGGGCGTGGTTTCTTGGGGGTATACCTAGAGATGGTGGATGACCCTGTGACAGGTCGGCCGAGACTCATGACAGTAGTGTCAATGGATGATCTTATTCAGAAAGGGCCTTTCCAGGTAAGAACAAACTTAAGTGACACGATCGATAGCATGTTTAATAAGATTCTCAATCGATATATCTATGAAGTTTCTATGACAGTGTAAAATTATCTGTTATCCCTGTTAACTCTGCTTTCTCAGGCAGTGCTGCAGTACCTTTATACGGGTCACCTGGATGAGACACGTGGGGATCTGATGCAGGTGGCCACCATCGCCGAGCTTCTGGAGGTCTTCGACCTTCGTATGATGGTGGCCAACGTCCTGAACCGTGAGAGCTTCATGAACCAAGAGATCACCAAAGCCTTCCATGTGCGTCGTGCCAACCGCATCAAAGAGTGCCTGAGCAAGGGCACCTTTGCTGGTAGGCAATCTGAAATCAGCGTCAAACATTATGTATTGTATATATCTATGTGAAGAAGCATTCATGTCGGATCTATCTAACAACCAGAACACAATGCATACAAGGAAACCCAAATGTCCTGGCAAATTGTAATTATCGTATCCTGATAAATTACCCTGCTATCTGTTGTTCTATCCTTTTACACTGAGAAGCTGAATCAAGCCTTTTCTCCAAACAAAAATAACCTTTACCAAGCAACTTAAAAGCTGCTGTTGTTGAGGGAATGATAAATGAATGGACGGTTCTCACTGATTTTTTTGTCTAATTAACTGTCCTAATTTGTTTAGTGCAGACTCTTCAGGAAGTTCTGGTGTTATTGGGTAGTTAATTTCTATTACTTGTCAGTGTGTCACATTCTAAAGGCTTTTGTAGTGACACCATTGACTTAAGTCTCATGAGTTCTATTTTCAATTCTATTTCCAGAATTCAGTGGAATTGAAATAGAATAGTTCATACTCTAGAACAGTCCATTTGTTTTTCCTTTCCTTCATTCAGTCTCTTTGTTGTTTTAAGGAAATACCCAGTGGAGTGCTTTAAAATATCCCTTCATTGCTGTCAGTGAATATTTGCATATTGTGGACATGTTTGCTTTTCTGCTTTGTGGTTTCTGTGTCGCTTACTCTCTGTTGATGTCATGTCTCGTGTGTTGTGTGCATGTTTGTCATAATTAACCTTTTTCAACACTCCTTTATTCTCCACTTACACCTGTTAATTTCATTGCATCATCTGCAATTGTCATAAACTCATTACCCAACCATGAAGGTGCTTCTATCATGTTTGAAAAATGTCAGTGTGTCACATTCTAAAGGCTTTTGTAGTGACACCATTGACTTAAGTCTCATGAGTTCTATTTTCAATTCTATTTCCAGAATTCAGTGGAATTGAAATAGAATAGTTCATACTCTAGAACAGTCCATTTGTTTTTCCTTTCCTTCATTCAGTCTCTTTGTTGTTTTTAAGGAAATACCCAGTGGAGTGCTTTAAAATATCCCTTCATTGCTGTCAGTGAATATTTGCATATTGTGGACATGTTTGCTTTTCTGCTTTGTGGTTTCTGTGTCGCTTACTCTCTGTTAATGTCATGTCTCGTGTGTTGTGTGCATGTTTGTCATAATTAACCTTTTTCAACACTCCTTTATTCTCCACTTACACCTGTTAATTTCATTGCATCATCTGCAATTGTCATAAACTCATTACCCAACCATGAAGGTGCTTCTATCATGTTTGAAAAACAGAACGTTTTTCATCTCCATTGTGGCCTGAAGACTACTTGTACATTCCCTATGGGTATGCAGAAGTTTATAAACTGAATCATTAGAGATTTATTTGCAATAGTAGAAATCTGCATTGAATTGAATTAGGAGCTTTTTTCCCATCATGCCCTCCTGATACCCACAGCATACTGCTAAACAACCTGTCCAACATCATCTGTTTTTTAACAAAGTTAGTGAGCCACAGTGAACTTGTGGAGTCAATCCATGTCAGTCGCTAAAGAATTTGCTGCTAAAATAAATTTGCCCACTATATGGTCCCAGTCTGGCCTTCCCTTCACATTTTCTGTCTTCTTATCCTTAGCCTTGTCAATCTGTCTATTTATTATTGGTCTATGTGTCTATCTGTCTCTTCGTCTGTCTCTGTGTTTGTCCGTCCACCTGTCTCCCCCTCTGTAGCCTCGACTCTGTGACACACGCCGAGCTGTGTGCTCTTTTCCTCCCGGTTTTAGATGTGGTGTTTCGATTGGACGACGGATATCTACCAGCCCACAAGCCACTGCTCATCTCAAGCTGTGATTGGATGGCAGCCATGTTTCGTGGATCCTTCATGGAGAGTTACATTGAGGAGGTGAGCAGAGATTTTAGTGATTCATATTTCATTAAAGCAAGAGCATGGCACTATATATGCTATATATACATACACATACACAGTATATATACATATATTTTATTTTGCACGGACAAATTTAGTCTGCAAAAGTTTATTTTGTGTTACTGCACTGACAGATGAAAAAAAAAACTAATTGTGCAATAAGACGAATTTGCAGACTAAAACTGTCCATTGTCAATGGTGTAGCGTATGCATAAAGGCAACTTTCAAACCAAGCATCTTTCTATTGGTTCTATTCTCTAAGCATTGACTAGATACCAAAGTACCAGTATTTTTGACATCAGTGGTCTACGTCATATGGGTTTGATTTAGGCTCAACACATTTCTCAAAGTTTCACCTAAACTTGTTTATGGAACCACAAAGTACTATTAATCTCAGTCACCTTGATCTTTCCTACCCTGGAGCTCTGACAGATCCCACTAAAAAAAGTGGCACAGGTAGTTGAAACTAGGCCGCCTCTGTGACAGCCTGACCCACATTGATGCAGCTGCGACAGGAGACCATCTCATCCATATGGATGAATTAACAGTACTAAACAGGCCTCTGAGGAGAGTGCTCCAGGCAGACTGATGCTGAGACTTTAGAGGAGGTCCTGTGCCAGCGGGCAGCGGGAACACATGCTGAGATATATCTGCTTTGTGTCTGTGCTCCCATATTCAAGAGAGGCAAACTAGAAGGGGTCTAGAAATATTTATTTGCAGTGATTGAGGTTGTAGAGCAAATTTAGGATTTGGACTAGTTTTGACATCATGTTAAAGTTATATTAATATATATTAATACATTTTTCTGGTCGAGTTAGATCAGGTAATTTTTTTCAGTCTGTATTATGCTTATTTTATTGTCATGTAATTTGCTTTTGCAAAACAGCAGTTGATATACAGTATATATTGATATGATATCTTTAGATTATGCACATGCTCATACCAAAACACGCTCACATCTTTGTGTGTGTTTCAGTGCATTGCTGAGTGTATAGTGACAGGAAGTTTGTTAGACTGGGCACTTCCTCTAGTCATTTCCTCAGCACCATCATGTGAACGTGTACAGGAAGTTTGTGTGTGTGAACCTTATATATTCATAGATTTTTGGTCTCAAAGTGGTATTTAACTAAAACCACATGATAACCATTCCACACAGTTTTTGATTTGATTTACACTTGTTTTCTATGGAATTATTCTAACATATCACAGTTTCTTCTTGGCATAAATTTAGCTCATGTATTTTTCATCCAGAACTATTAAGTCAGGTGTCAAAGGTAAGGTTTCACTGTATTCCTTTCGGAGGCCCATCTCACCCGCACATAACTCTATCCAGGTCTATCCCGTGCACGCTCTCTGATTTCCTTGGGCTACCGGCTGTCAGCTCAATTTCTAGAAAGACAAGCTCCCTAAGGGCAGGAACTCGGGACCAAGCTGACCAACACCAGAGGCTGAGAGTTATAAGTGTCCAGGCCTGCCGGTGAACAGGATCACCCTGTATAACATTACAAGCATTACAGGGAGCTAGATTTACAGCACAAGAACAAACTGATGCGGGAAATAGGATGCTGGCTGCTTTTCTATTCTGACAGCATCGGCTGAGAGTATGTCACATAGAGATCAACACAAGGTGGCCAGAGATAAGTAAACTTGGTTCTGCTTTGACGAGCTTGACATGCTCTTTGCTCAAGCGTTGAATTTTAAGGAGTAAAATAGCATAACAAGGTTTGATTTTAAATGGATCCTCCACCCAAAAATTCAAATTCTCTTACCCTCATGCCATCCTATATGCATATGTATATTTTTATAAAAATATAATGCAAGTTGCTGGTACCCTCAAAGCTGGCATTTCACAAACCACACAAAACAAACACGACAGTAGTCTATAAGACCCCAGTTGATAAATCAATGTCTTCTGAAGCTTACTAGAGTTTTGTGTAAGAAAAATATGAATAAATACTAAACAGCATGAAAGTGTAGAGGACCGTCACTATTTTTACGAATTTAACAGTGCGCTTGCATCATGCTTCACAATGTACTGATGTTCACATCAAACGAATGTACATATGACAGTTGGCCAGAAGAGTTCATTTATAGAGGTATATAAACGTTTAAAATATTAGTATTTTGACCACACACCACTTTAGTTTTGCTTGAGAAGACATTGAATCATCAATTTGGTCTTATGGATTTTTCAACTTTGAGGCTGTTATTCACGAGTGTTATATGGACTCAAAGTGACTTATATGGACACAATGATTATTTTTCTAAAAATGTCTGTGTTCATTTGAAGGAAGAAAGTCATATACATTAGGGTTAGGAAATGAGAGATCATTTATTTTTGGGTGGAGTATCCCTTTAATGTCTATTTTGGTATTAGTGAGTACAGTAACTATCTTTGAGGCGGTGCTACTTTTTTTGTCTCTTGTGCACAGAGCATATTTAATGCAAGATGTTTTGGTGTGTTTTCAGTAAAAATCTCATAAGAAACAAGAGTTCACAAGGAGGGAGAGATTGGGTTGTTTGGTTATTGACTCATAGCAACCAAGTTTATTTTTTATTTTTAAACTCTTTGTATTCTACCAAGCCACTTGATATCGTCCCTCTGGTGCCTCTTTCTTGGCACCTGAGCAGCAATCACTTTAGAAGTGTTCAGTGGGCTTTGTAAATGTTAAAAGACTAAGCCTGTTCCATACATTACCGTAATGATGCAAGGCAAAGTGCGGCCTAACGACTTGGTCCTCATCTCCTCCAGTCTGGCACATTGTAGCGACTGGTTGTGGTGAACACTGTGCTATTTTTAGAATGAGCTTGTGAATAGAGTGAGCCCTTGTCACTGTCTGTGCAGCAGTCGGCACAGAAGGTGTTGTATAACCAGATATAAAGCCCTTGCAATACCTCAGGGTGGCAAATATTTATAAAGTGTCATTCAGTTGAGTAAAGCTGATCGTTCGCCCATAAGTGGGTTTTTCAGAGTCTGTACTCAAATGTTTCTTGTCTATTGCTGCATATTATTGTTGCTTCAGTTTGTGACACAGAGTCAAGAGTTGTCCTTGATTGATCTACCACATGTAAGCTTTACTCTTCTAGTCCTGTGCAGAAATATCTCTCAAGGTTTTTGAGGTTAGGCAGCACATACTTATTACTGAAGACGACTTTAAAATCAATATGACATCTACACTGCTTCTGTATCTGAATGTTATTTATAGGTCTCTTTATGTTGTACGTTTACGTTGCATGAAGCTCTATGTGAGTACACTCTTCAGTAAGTCTTGCTGATCTATCTCTGTTGTTTTGAACATGCTGCTTTTTAAAGCAGGAAGTGTCTGAACATACGGGAGACGCTCAGGTGCCAGAATTCCTTTCAGCAACATCATACTTCTGAGTGTGATTAGCGCAAGACCGAGCGGAAGCTCAAATGTGAGAAGCTGTCACATTTTCCCTGTGAGACAAAGATGAAGTGAAAACGGAGACAATGAAGGCGGCGACTGCGGTTGCGGTGTACACTGCAGTAAGTTGTTAGTTGATGAGAAAGAGTCTGGTTGCTTTTGATAGATGACCACTTCCTCCGTAACACACATTCCCTTGGGTCTTGACCCCATTTTCTTCTCAAGGTAGTTGCATTGTTTTTCTCAATTCTTCCTCTTCCAAGAAACAACAAATTATCACAGCATATTAATATCACCATTTAATTGAAATTCCGGTCAATTAAAAATAAAACACTAAAAACTAGTGAATTTAGGTATCAAGTTCAGTATGAAAAGGATATTTATTTTGCAAATTGTTAAAGATTTTTAATGGTGCATTCAGTAGTTCTCCGGCTAGCATAAGCATTGCTGTTCTTCATATGCTTTAAGTACTGACTCCTCAGTCTTGTTAGATGCTGCACTGCCATCTATCAACATGGATCAGTATGAAAAAGAAAGAATTTCTTAAGAATTAAAAATGTCTTAATGAGCACAGAACTATTGAATGCATATTAAACAGTCTTATATATACAATATATATATATATATATATATATATATATATACTTTTTATTTTACTTGTGTCTGCTAAATCTAGAATTTGATTTGTTTGGATTTGTTTGCTTGTGCTTAGAGGATTGAGACAAAATTTCCATTCACTCACAGCACTATTGTTATCTTTAGGTTTTAATAGGAAGTTGCCTACTGTGTCCCCTCTGCGTCTTTTAAGTCTGCCCTTTAGCCATAATGAACGGTCATATTCACACTGACATTCTGTTAATTGGCTTTGAGACAGACAGGTGAAGGGCACCGCTAGGCTTCAGAAGTACCGCTGAGCGTCATCTTGCCACCCCCCAATGTACCATCTCTGACCTATAGAATCTGTGTCAGCTTGCGGTCGTTGTTCCCACAATCTCCTACACATGTGACGGAAGCAGTACAGATTCTGTTGTGATAGTTTTTGTGGTTTGATGCATTTAAGATCAGTTTACTGCACAACTCACTAAGCAAGAAGCAGAAGGTTGGTGCAGTTTAGGGTAAGTGAAACTGTCTAGTCATTCCTAAATTGGATGTATGTGATCAATATTATTTGAAACATTATAAAGATGTTTGCCTGTGATTGGACAAATCCCTTCACAAGAAGTAGTGGTTTCCAGGTTGCTATAAGCATCTGCACCCTGTAAGTGTTCAGTCCTCAAGCAGGGTAACGCTAGAGGCAATTAAATCCACTGCATCCTGTCCTAATTCACAGAGGAATAACTGCTTAGTCTGAGGATGGCGACGGCATAAGGAGAAGGTTGCCATGGGCTGATTCACAGTCTCTGCACTTTCCTCTTTGTGTCCCTGCTGAAAGCTCTCCCTTAATTCCTTGGCCGTTCCTTGGAGCTGAAAGAATAAGCATGCTTTTGTTTGCTCTCCACCCTCCAGCCAAAGCAGAGTCAAAACAACAGCACTTCTACCTTTAAGCTTGGGTTTATGTGATTTTGGTTATGAATGGTGTTGGACGTGGGCAGATTAAGTCATGTGGCCTCCAGGGACCTCACAGTTTCATTACAATGGCACAACAATTGCAACTTTCTGTGAAGGATGATAAAAGTGGATTGCACTGTATTTGTGAAATGCACTACTGTTTAAAAGTTTGGGGTCAGTAAGATTTTATATTATAATGCTTTCAAAATTAGGAAATATTATCACAGTTTAAAATAACGGTTTTCTGTTTTAATATATTTTAAAACGTAATTTATTTCTGTGATGGCAAAGCAGAGTTTTCAGCATCATTACTCCAGTCTTCAGTGTCACATAATTCAGAAATCATTCTAAAATACTCATTCGCTGCGTAAGAAACATTTCTTATTATTATCAATGCTTGACATTTTTGTTTCATCATGATTCTTTGATGTATAGGAAGTTAAGAAAGAACAAACTAAGAAAGTTTAACAAGTTAAGAAAGAACAAACTATTTGTCATAATGAAACTGTCTTCACTGTCTTTTCTTTAAAAACATCTTATTTACCCCAAACTTTTGAAAGATAATGTGGCCTTGTACTAATATGATGTACATCCATTCATTAAAAGCAGAAGAATACAGTATTTTTTAAAAGTTAAGAGGTTATAAACACCATAAATAAATTGGTGCACCAAGTGGTTGTTTTAAATATGTTCTGGTGGTGACAAAATTTGCCATATCAGTAAATGGGAACAGTCTTGCTTTACAGTATGTGTGTATTTGAATTTGTGTATTTGTTCTGTAAAGCATATTCTGTGTTCACTGTTATATGATGACAGTCTCTCCTGTAGGCTGGCTTGTTGGCTCTTGTTTATGCAGAGGCCAGGTCTCCCGTAGCGACAAGCCCACAGAGTTATTTTTCCACAGCTTTAAGCTGAGACTGTCAACGGTTTCACGCAGTGCTTTAATCTCCTGAAGGATGAAAGACCCCTTGTGGTGGCCACTGCCCTCGCCCTCCTATCGCTCTCTCAGGCCCCTTCCTCCACGAGCCTTTCTGGATATGTTCATCCCATTCTAACCAATTCCTCGGCCACTTTGGGTCCTGCCATGTCAACACGAAGGCCCTTCTAATGGTCAGCGGCCAGGACCATGCAGGTCTCAATAGGGGAGAGGTGCTGAGCAGATTGTTTCATCCCTGGATCAATCTGCCTCTCGAGTTTCCATGTCCTGGAGATGAGCTATGAGTAAACATTGCTCAGCACGGGTTATGAAATCTTTTCACACAAACTTTTCTCAACGTGGGCTTTTGTTAATAACTGAACTTGAAATATTTTGGCTGTTTTTTGCTAACCGCTGCTCCGTTTCTCTTTTTAGGTCTCTATCCCCAACACCAGTTGTGCCTGCATGAGAGCCGTTCTGGAGTTTCTGTACTGTGGTGTGTTAACACCTTGTCCTGAACTAGAGCCAATGGACCTTATAATACTAGCCAACCGCCTCTGTCTTCCCCGCCTTGTAGCTCTAACAGGTAGGTTTCAATAATGGCTCTGTGTTTACCCGAAGGCAGACAGTATACCTTGACCACTGTACAATTCTGCGGTTAATGGGCCTGGAGAGGAAAATAATCTGAGATCTTATACTTTCAGCATGAATTTGTGAGCCAAATGTTGGTTAATATTACAGATGATAGCATTTAAACTCATCAAAGCTACTAGACATGGTGCTAACTAGCAAAATAAATAAACAAAAATAAATGTTATCTACAGCTAAATATTATCTAAAAATACACCTGTGAAGGTGAGAAATTTTTCACTGTTGACGATTTTGTTGTTATGGAGTATTTCGCAAATTGTTAACCATTAAGCCTCATGGCTGACATATTAACACTTGTTGTGTGGTGTTTTGCCATGGTCTACAGAGCAACATGCCGTTGAGGAGCTGTTGCAGTTGTCCGTTAAAGGGGTGGACATTGATGGCCATGTGCTGGCCTATCTGGAGATGGCTCAGGTAACATTAATAAAGATGAAGCGAACAAAGCCTTTAATAGAATGCACTGAGTAATGAAGTGGCAATATAACCAATGGCGCACATTACAGAATTACCATTCATTCATAGCCTACTTTATTCTAGTTCAAAGTATGAACAGACTTTGCTTTTCAAATGAGCCTCATTGACAGAAATCATGCTGTGCCAACTCTGCTTTTTTGTCTGCTGTAGTTCCACAATGCCAAACAGCTCTCTGCCTGGTGTCTGCATCACATCTGCACCAACTACAATAGCGTTTGTCGAAAATTCCCTAAAGATATGAAGATTATGTCTCCTGGTAAGAAGCAAGAAGTGCTTTTGTTCATTTATTTATTAGATTTATATTATGTATAAATGAAATAAATTCAGCAAGGATGCACTAAATTGATCAGAAGTCACAGTAAAAACATTTATAATGTTAGAAAAGATTTTTATTTTAAATAAATGCTGTTCTTTTAAACTATGCAGCCTTGGTGGGCATGAGACTTTCAAACACATGAAAAATTGTACTGTACCAAACTTTTAAAGCAAGTGTCTGTATGTGTATATCAATTTCAATATCTATGTTTATTTACTTATCTATTTTGCAATTCTAATTTTGTACTTAGTAAACCTTATTCTCTTCAATTGAATTTTTTAAGTAAATCTAGCTAAACATCTGAGCAACTTGATATATATCACATATTTATGATTCAAAACTTTTGCCACTGGGATAAAAAAAAAAAAAACTTAATAACAAAATAAAAACAAATTTTAAACCATTTGCTTTTTTTGCTTTAGCCAACTTTCCAAATTGAATCCAAATCTGAATACAACACAATATCTAGCATAATATCTTACTTCTCAAGTAAATGTATCTTGGTGTAAGGATTTTTAGATATTTATCTTTAGATGAAAAAACAAGATACAAATACTGAGCAAGAAAATGATTTTTCCACTGTATTTCCTTCATCTTGCTCTTTTGTTCTTCCAGAAAACCAGAAACACTTTGAGAAGCATCGCTGGCCCCCTGTCTGGTTCCTGAAGGAGGAAGACCGCTACCTCCGGTCTCAAAAAGAGCGAGAGCGCGAGGAGGAGATCTTACGCAAGCAGCACACCAAACGTGGCTGGTGCTTCTGGAGACATCCATCCTCCTCAGCACCCCACATTTCCTGAAGGTCTGCCTCCATCCATCCATTCAAACCCCCTGTACCCCTCTCCCTCATCTCAGTCCAGAGGCATGTAACCAAGCCTGGGGAGCCCTGTTTCTGTGCATCCATCCCGACTGCTGGAAGTGTGTCTGGGTCTTCTTTGCCTCTGAGCTTTAACCTTCCCTCCCGCGTTGGGCCTTAGCGGGCTGCCCGCCATGAGAGCTCAAAGCATATGTGTCATTAAATGGGAGACGGCTCGGAGAAAGTCTCAAATCTTTCTCACTCTCAATGTTGCATGTTCAACTGTGCGAATGCAACAGGTCTCGCCGCAGGATGACATAGGGAACGCCATCATTGCAGTGGCCTGCTTTCGCCTCTTAAGACTGTTATTATTATACAAGACCACACACACACTCACACCAGCACCCCGTCTGAGCGCTGGCGCCCAGGCACACAGATGCTGCATGGTGCTGCTGTGTTGAGCTTTTCTCTGTGAGACCTATTTCTGGGAAAACCGTCATGTTCAATGCCTACAAGCTGAAACATAGCTTAGCTTTAAATACAACTAGCAACTAAAATGGTGGCAGGGATATATATATATATATATATATATATATATATATAAATTTAAATAAAGGGGTTATTGCCCTTGCCTGCATTCTCACTAAAAACAATTCTCCATTTTGGATCTTCTATTGCCCCATATTGGCTCTGAATACCAATTGTGTTGCCTACTGAAGAACTGTTTTTCAGATTGCTTGTCCTGTTACTAAAATTTGCTCATGTGGTAGAACAGAAGGGGTGTGTAGTTCAGGTCTGTCACTCACTAAAAAACTCCAGGCCAGCACCAAAGACAGACATACACACAGACAACTCATTCAAACACAAACGCCTTACCAAAATCTGCAGAAACAAAAACTTGACAGCAAGTAAAAATTAGGGCTATTTTACCACTGCCAGGAGAGTATTAACAGTCACAGCTGTTATATGACGTTCTGTAGATTGAGCTTTGTGATATGACCACTAGCAAGCTCCTCCACTTGCTTGCCTTTCACCTCCACCACTGGGGGATGCCCATGCCTTCTGAGTTTACCCTGCTTTCGAAAGTATTAGCTACTCATTTGTTTGTCAATCCTGTTTCGGATCTTCACATCCTTGTGAAATGCACTCGTTTTTGTAGCACTACTTCAATCTTAGCTATTGGCGAACCAAAAAGTAGGTTGCAATGTTTGGTATTCCTTCGCCACTCCCCTCTGTTACTCCTCTGCTCCTCTACCTCTGCAGTTAGCCAAACTGAGGCAGAAACTATCGATCCACTTCCTGTAGTGTTTGATACGTTGCAATGTGATGCTTCACTTTGCACTTTACATACGCAGATACAATCGGTGCTCAGGATTAACCTGCTAAATGTCACAGCGTTCAACCATTCACCCATTATATCTTTAAGGGGCGGTTACACTAGACGTTGAGCAACAGTTGTGATGTGATGTCATGCTATGTGGTGTCTTTAAAAAAAAAAAAAACTATTCTGCAGTGCTGCCAACCTGCAAATTTTAAATTTGTGTTTGTTTAATTCCACTAAGCTGTCAAGCCATGACTTAATGATCTTCTATTGGTCACACGTCTAAACATGATACAAATTTGCAGGTCAGAGTTCACCAAACTTGTAACGTTGTGTTTCCAGTATCCAACATTTGCATGCGTATGGATGGAAGGAAAAGTGTAGTGTTACCGCCTCTTTACACAAGTTTACCTGTTTTGACAATCTTAATAACAGAATATCCCAACATAAGCTGTAAATCAAAAGTGTATCCTTCTTTTTTGATTGAAAAGCTTTCGATTTCAAGCTTTGAAACTTTGTGGTTAAATTGACAGTGATATGCTAACAGCCACTCTCGGTTTGGTTTCTCTTTCAGACGTGCATGCGCTGTGAAGTGTTGTTAGCATCCGTTTGCTAGAGTCTGTCTCGACTGCCTTCCATCTGAAAACATGAGTGCCTACGACCATTGTTACACTTTCCCTACATTCAAGTATTTCTCGGTGAAGCATGTTTGTTTTGCCTGTTTCGTGCCTTTTAACAAAAGTGTTTTTAATAACTACTTTGGAGGTGAGTGAGAAATCTCTGAGACATTTTAAGTTTTCCATGCCACCCTTTTTCTATTTCTGGCTTTCTGATTTCGCTTCCTCAAGGCTGCACCCTGCTTTTCACACCAGACGAGCTGAAATCATCAACAGCTACAAAAATAGACACACAGAGAGCCCATGTGCTCAGACAGGCCGATCTGCACACAAAATAATAAATAAATTACAAAAAAAGAGGGAAACGGAGAGCAGACGCTGTATGGCTGTATGCTTCCATCTACACTCGTAGGGGCACTTTTGTAGATTCATCCCACTAAGATGCTGTATTTATAGGGGCAGACAAATAAATGAATGTTTATAGATGCCGCACTATGCCTAAAGGCTTAATAATTAGTAAAATAACGAATGTAAGACCTTAGTGTGTATTTGCAGACTGGCTCTGCAATAAATTATGTACTTAATTGCAGCTCTCCTGTCTGCCCCTTAAAGTTAAAGAAGAACAATTCAAGAACACATCAGCATGCTTGTTGGGATGGAAAACGTTGTTGGGCTTGTTAGCACTTTCGCCGATCTGCACACAAAATAATAAATAAATTACAAAAAAAGAGGGAAACGGAGAGCAGACGCTGTATGGCTGTATGCTTCCATCTACACTCGTAGGGGCACTTTTGTAGATTCATCCCACTAAGATGCTGTATTTATAGGGGCAGACAAATAAATGAATGTTTATAGATGCCGCACTATGCCTAAAGGCTTAATAATTAGTAAAATAACGAATGTAAGACCTTAGTGTGTATTTGCAGACTGGCTCTGCAATAAATTATGTACTTAATTGCAGCTCTCCTGTCTGCCCCTTAAAGTTAAAGAAGAACAATTCGAGAACACATCAGCATGCTTGTTGGGATGGAAAACGTTGTTGGGCTTGTTAGCACTTTTTGTTCTTTGACTATTTGCTTTTGCACTTTTATTTTAGAGTTGGTCTGCCTTTGATGTGCATGGCATTGACTGTTTCTAAACTACGGCTTTTGAAAACATTTTGTAGCATGGAATGATTTCTTCCATTAAAAAAGGTGCTCCTTATGGCCCTACGTATTTTGTGCTTACGTAAAAAAAAAAATCCCTCATACTTACAAGACTTTTATGTCGGTTGCTCAAAGTCTTTGTACCTTGTGCTTTAATCGAATATGCCTTAATTGACTTCAAGGACATGTGATGTGTTTTTCTGCTGAAATTAGGTGGTTTAGTAGATTTCAAATAAACAGTATTAGAAAGGTCTATTAGCCCTCAAAAGGATTGTTCACCCCAAATGCAAATTCTGTCATTTGCTCACCCTCCTGTTGTTTCAACATGTTTTATATGAATTTATTTCTGCTGAAGAACACAAAAGAAGTGTGTGGCGTCCATGAAGTCAAAGGCATCCAACTCAACTTTATTGTATGGACAAAATTTGTTTTCAAAACATGTTTTTTATGTTCCACAGGGGGAAAAAAGGTCATACAAGTTTGAAATGACGTCAGGGTGAGTAAATGATGACAGAATGTTCATATTTGGGTGAACAACCGCTTTAAATTGAGAGATTGACTTAGTGACTAACAACAGGAAAGACAGTATAACTGCTTGCTAAATATGCACTTTAGCTTAAAATTTGATACAAATGATATTCTTTGTGGATTTTTTTTCAATTTAACAAATTGTAAAGTATTTACCGGTGCACGTTTACAGGCAAGATGTGCATGGGAATGGTCTAAGCGCTAACTTGTATGTAATTATGAATAACAGTAGCTTTCATTAATAAGGAATTATCATGCACTTTCATCATGTTATTGAAAAAAATAAATTATTAAAAAAAATCTGAGCCCTTATTACAACTTTTAAAAAGTCCATCCAAAACCCTTACAGATACTTAATGTTATACTAAATGTTTATCATGTTCATTATTAATGTCACATTGTGGTTGTAGTTAGATTTATTTAATAACAGTTCAGCATTAGAATCCCACTAGTCTAAAAGAAACGTGAGAGCACTTGAGAATTGTGGTCTATTGTAGTGTTACCGTGCCTTTAATTGAAAAAAACATCTTTCTGAAGAGAGGTCACTGCCTTTAGTTTTGATCAAGGTAATTGTAGTGCACTAACACACACACACACACACACACACACACAAACAACACCACAAACTTTAGCTGACAGCCATCAGACCACTGTAGGCCTATTGCTGCATGCCTGTGGCCAGCATGTAGCAATACCCTCTGTTCTTTGAGTGATGATGTGAAATATTTTTATGCTTTCCCCCCTAACATTTTAGATGTTTTCATCCCTCTTTGATAGTGCTGAGCTGAGTGGAAACCCGTGCTTGTTGTGAACAGTGATTTATAAGCGTTTGGTCAGAGGCACACTTGCACCCTCTACAGTCAAGGTTTTATTTTTTTATTTTTACAAGGCTAAAGGTAATATAAATTGGTGTAGGACAGGGGAGATATGTTACACAACATTCTTTTTGGAATATGACTTTGGTTTAGTTTTTTTTTGTGCAAAATAATAATACCAGAGAGCTGTTATTGTGATTGTGAAAAAAATGAAAACACTCAATATTTGTAATAAACTGGAAAGGTTAATCACATCTTACTGCTTGTAAAATTAACAATCTGACCTCAGATCATAGGCAGAGACCACTTCAAGCCCTTGTTAGTTTCTTTGTTTCAACAGAGGGGCTCTCCAACCAACTTTCTTTCTGTGCTCTGAAATCCACCTTCATCTCCATGAAAGAAAAGGGCCGTATTACTGAACAACATCTGTCAATTATAGTGGAGCACTTGTATGCCCTTTGGCAGACGCTGTCCCTCTTTCCACTTGTGGTGAGGTGTCCTTGCCATTTTTTGTCTTCTTGAGGTGAGGTAGGTGTCACTGACTGTTGACCCTACCCTTGACCTCTCTTCCTCTTTCAAATCTGTGACTATTTAAAGCTGTTTTGCACTTTGTGGTTTTCTTTTTAACTTCTTGATTATTGTTTCTGATACCTGTTCTGTAATTATTGTTCTTGTTCTGAACCAGAAAAAGCACACACACACACACACCATACACACTACTAAGGGCTTTTAAAATATAAAATCAGAATGTTTTGCTGCTGTTGCAAAAAAGAATAAAGAAAAAAAAAAGTTTTACTGAATCGTTTGTAATATTTTTGAACAACTGTGATTTGTACAAAATGGAGCAAAAAAAGGGGTTGGAAAAAAATTTCTGTTTCAGTATTTTAATGTTTGCTTGGCTTTTAATAAAACTTAACTGAACTCTTTGAACTCTTTTATTTGTGTGTGTTTTTATTTGCTATGAAATGTTAACTATTGATCATAAAAAATTGTTACATTAACACATTTTAATATAATAATCATTTAAAATACATGTAAAAGAGTATAACTGTTCTCAGATACACTGTAAAAAACGATTTTTCAAAGTTGTAAATAAAACAAAGATTAGCTGTATTGGAGTTTCAAAAAAAAAACTTTCAGTCCTTCTACTTCAAAATGTTATGTTTAATTCAAGGTTTTACTTCTGTTTTATTTGTTATTATAAAGTTACAAGCAATTTCTGAGTGAAAATGATTTCAAAGTAAATCCTATACCATTTTTTCAGTGTATCTTGCACACAAATGGGAAATATACACAATTTTATGTAAGATTTGTACAGGTGATCAGCTCGTTATGTGGAAAGTCAGTACTGTAAAATGCCCTACAGAGGGAGACATACACCGTTTTAAGCGTTTCCTCTCGTCAAACTGTATAATAAATATATTTACCTAAATATTAAATATATATTATATAATGTCACATATGTTTTTGCATTAGAAGAATGACCATTTTACCATGTACTACTAACATGTACTGCTAGTTGAGCTGCTTAGCTTTGTTGCAGAAGCACTACTTTTATTCAGCTGGCACTTCCTTTATGTCTCTCCTTCACAAAGTAGCAGACAAAATGGCTGAGTCATCCCAAAGTGACTGCCTTCTCTCCCCCAGTTCCTCAGTCAAACGCCTGAAACAATCAGATCAAAATGTCAGTCCCCAGAGGTGATTTAATAAAATAGTTGTAGTATGAGGTTTTTGGTTGTCATGCAAACACAGACACGGTAATGATTTCCATAGGACACGGTGGTTGCAGTGTTGCATTGTTTGAAGGAATACACATCACAGGAAATAAGTAATCTCCATACACACGTGCACACTCACACGCACTGCAACATTTCCAGTAACACTTTGAAGGGGCAAAGCCAACACACATGCTGTAATTGATGCTGCAGCCCCAAAAGAGGGGGTGTCTGTGTAGACGGGTGGCTAACAGACCAGAAAGTCTCCTTGGTGTGTGTTTGTGAGACACTGATTACAGCCCTAGTGCTTGTGTCATCAGATCTGTGACTGATGTGTTGGGTGGTGCCATGGTTTGATTCA